AGATCCTGCCTGCATGTTAGTAGCTGTGTGACCCTGGACAAGTCACTGAACCTCGCGAGGCTCTGTTTCCTCTTCTGTGAGATAAACATAAGAATAGTACCTGCTCCAGTGTTGGGGTGAGAATTCAGTGAGATAATTATATTCAGACTCAGCACAATGCTTGGGAGAGAGCAAGCACCCAATAAACATTGCTGTTTTCAGGATTAGTCATAGTATTAATTAAAAATGGAATTCTTGTAACTAAATGCACCAGGCTTAAGTCTCAGAGTCACCACTGTGTTACCTTGGAGTCACGCCTTCTCTATGCATAGGACTCAAGTTTCTTCATCTCTAAAAAGAGTTGTTAGTTTAAAACTGCACAGATGTGAGAAATTTCCCTTCACATGGACACGAGAGAGGACACTTCTTGAAAGTTAATTAACTCTGTAAAGGTGAGCATTTTTTTTGTGCCCAGAAGACACCACAGTGAATACAGCAAGTGCAGGAGCAGAGGAGACCCAGGGACGGGTGGTGAGTGCAGCTGGAGGGACGAGCTTTGGAAAAGAAGAGGAGAGCCTGGGAGCAGATGCAGAGGTGGCACGTAGATGTCCTCCTGTGCTTTATCATGTAGAATATCTTGTGGCCCCTGCCCTCCCCACTCCCTTCCCCTTCTTCTCGTCTTTGTACACACTGCCCCCTGACTTCATGTTCTTCCTCCTGAATAACAGTGCTTTGTTGCCTGGACTCACCAATCACTTTCCAGGTTTTGAGGGCAGCCCCTGCAGCTCTGTGCTGAGAGTGGGGAGGGCTGCAAGGAGGAGGAAGCCCCAGGTCCCATTGCTGAGAGAAGTCTCCTTCCATGACAACGCAGATGCAAGAGATGGCCTGTGATTATATCTTCCTCCCTCTGAGCTGGGCAGCATGTGGAACTTGGGTCAAGACACAGGCATTTGGAAGCTTGAGCCCTGATAGGCAGCTGACCTTCCTAGATTACATAGCCCTGTGTTTAGCATTGAGTAATGACGTGTTTTCAAACAAGTCTCTGAGCCAAGGGAAATAGCTTCTTCCACCTAATAATCAAGACTACTGGAGAATGGAGGGCACTTTGAATGACAGGGGGAAATGGGGTGAGGAGACAGGGACCTGGTATTTATTGGGCACTTTGTGTCCCATATTTTCCAATACACAAATCTTTTATATAAAAATACATATTATCTCTGCCCCTTTTAAGGATCAAAAGTCCTCTCAGGGGTTCTCTCCACTTCTCACAAGGAGAGACAGTAACTCCCAGGGTTACACAGCTTCTTAATCACCCAAGTCTTGCTGACTCCAAATCCCAAGCTCTCTCTCCACATGACACTGTTTATGCCTTTTCCTTCCATACTCTCATCCACCAGATTTCAGATCCAAATATTAATATTATGGGGCTCATGGCTGGTCTAGGAATAGGGATGGGCATCCCCTCTTCTTTCTCCCCAATCTCCACAGAACTATCTAGAATTCCTCATTTGGTCACACTACCTGAAATGCAAACAGGAAAGGATTCCCTTGGGTAAATAAGCCTCCTGCCATGTTCTGATGTTGGGAAAAGCCCCTATCTGAGTATCATAACTTTTTTTCCTTCTTCTGCTTTGTACAGAATCCTTCAGCCCTCTTTTGTTGCATGTTCTTAGAAATGTTGATTCAGATTTTATGTATAAGTTTTCATTTTTCCTTTTGCAAAGCTGTCTGGAAGAACATTCATTTTACAAGGAAGACTCTGTGAAATGTTCGGCCACAAGGATAGGTCTATTCAACCTTGGCCACAATCGGGAAGGCCAGCCTCCATATGAGCGGCAGACTGACAACACCAGCCTCTTATGAGTGGCCGACTGACTGACCAAACTCACTTCCTCTTTCTGAGAACACAGCAGATTATAGGCCCCAGCTTTCCTTGCAGGTAGCTATGCCACGTGACTGAGTTCTACACAATGGAATGTGAGCAGAAGTGATGTGCACCACTTCTGGGGTGAGGACCCTAACTCCCCTCCCCCACCCCTGCACATTCCTCCGTTCTCTTCTTCCTATTGCTGGGCTGAAGTGCATACACTGGCAAATGGTCCTGGAAGCCAAGTCCTGGAATACCACAAGATAGAAACCACCTGGAGGAAAACTGTTTGGTGTTCAAGAAGACCCATTTTGGATTTCATAGCAGAGAGGAATAAACCTCAATGGAGCTAAGCCAGTAAGATTTAGGGGGTTGATTTGTTGCAGCAGCTAATTCATACAATATGAACTCTTATTAATCTGATCAATTTTGACAAATCCATTTGATCCCTTGCTCCTATCCACCTCCACCTCCTCCACCCTGGACACAAACACACATGTATACACACTCCAGTCCTAAAGAGAGTGGATACTTTTGGGGGATTCTAATTTCTTGAAGTCACTATTAATTTTTCCTGAATAGTGGTGGTAATGCAGTTGTTATGGAACACTACATTCTTATTGATTTAAGAATGCCAGCCCATGCTGCAATTCAGATGTAACTGTATTCCTTCCTTACAGGCTGGTGAGGCTCAAGGACTTAGGGGTTACAGCATTGTGCATTTGATTGGCACAGGAGAGGGAATATTGGAGAGCCCTGGGATTTCAGCACGAGGCTGAGAAAGTCAAGCTCAATGAAGAGGAAGAAAAGTGGGAGGGTGGACAAATGACTTGGAGTTGGACCAGCTTGAAATATGTACAGATTTCTGATCCACCAGTGACTCGTTCATTGCACTGATACAAATACAGCAGTCAGAATGCTGCTGCCTCCCCAGGCAGCAGTATGTGGTCTTCAGACTCCAGGGGCATTGCAAGCCACTATCAGGTGAGATGGTGCTATTCTCACAACCCACCCTTAGAGATCCTTTCTTTGCCTCTCAAAGTTTCAGGAGGAGCCAAGACTCATAGCCTCTATTTTAGGGACTGGTTAATCAGCTTGGCACAGAGACTGTAAAATCGATCCTGGTCTTTCAAGCTCTTGGTCCCACAAACGTTACCCAAGATCCTATAACAAGTCACTAACCAAGTGTTAGGAAACCCTTTAGCGTCGAGTCCTAAGGCCCCAACGCTGCACGTGCTTCCCCTTGGGGGAGAGTGGTGAGTACAACTGCTTTCAGGGTGGTTGACTGGAGTTAAATTCCCAGATAAATATACATCCTGCATTTTTATTGTTGGAGGCAGTAGACTATAGGAAAAAGAGGGGGTTTTGGAGTCATCAAGATCTGGATAAACGCAGGTTCTACCTCATACTGGCAATGTGATCTTGACAATCAATCACGCTAGGTTACTGCATCAAGAATTAGAGGAGAATGCTCAATTCCTGGGGCTGTTGTAAGAAAAAGGAAATAATGTAGGGAACATATCTGACACCTAATCATATATCAAATAAAATATTTTCTTTCTCCTTTAGATGTGTTCCTTATCCTCAGTTAGGCTTTAAACTCCCAAAGGTAAGAGGTTATTCTTTACAACCTCTATGGGGTACTTTTCTATGAATAGAACCACAGTTTAGTTGTCACTACCTTGGGCATCATCCTCTAGAGCAGAGGCCAACAGGACTCTCAGCTACTCCAGTAGCTCCTGAGATCATTTCGTTTTGATGTGTGCTAGCATTCTGCTCCTTGTGCCCTGCTTGGAAGATTTCAGTATGAGTTGCCCTTCAGGCTACATGAGCGGCATAAGCCAAGTTTTAGTGTGGGGTACACCAGAGGAAGCTTGGCTGGAATGCTGGAGTGAGGGGAGGTGGGAGTCAGAGCCAATCACAGGGAGGAGGGAGGTGTGATCCCTGAGGAGAGAATAGGGATGTCTAGGGGTGAGGAAGCAGAGAAGCAAGTACAGACACACAGTGGCATGTTGGATGTCACCTGTGGAGTGGATGGTACCTGGATGGAAGCATGGTATGAAGGCATTCTTGTATGACAATTGTGGAGTGATCCAGGAGCAATGGAGTCATCTATGATCGGAAGGTAATAATCAGAGAAGTGAATTTGTTGATTAGATAAGAAGCAGCCAACATGTAAGTGGAGGGGTTGGACTTAAATAGGAGGAGGGATTGTTTTTTCCATTATTACAGAGGATAAAGCAGAGTCAATGGGTACAAATAGATGGGGATAGAAGAGGAGGGAATTTTTGCAGATTTGCAACTATTTTCTCAATGAAGGATGTGGTGAGATAGCCCGTGAGACCTGCATGGTGGAATTTGGAGTGAGAGGTAGATGAGATGGAGATTTGAGGAAAGTGAAGAAGTATGAAATAGTCATCTTGGAGGGCAGGAAGGAAATTCTCTAGGGAAATGTGGTGAAATTTCCAGGCAGTATTGAGTGCCTGGGCTGGTCTTTGGCTTAGGAGAAGGAAGAAATAGGTAGGATGGAGCCAAGTCGCCCCAGCCAACGGCACTTGAATCAGTCAACCTCAGACGCCTGAGTGAGTCCAGTCAAGATCGGCAGAGTTGCCCAGTTGAGCCCAGCCTAGAATCTATGACCCCCCCCCGATGACTTACACATCTGGGAGAATGTTATTTTAGGCCAATGAGTTTTGGGGTAGTTTGTTATACGTTGTTATCGTGACTATAAATATCTGATATAAGGAGTAAGAATAAGGGGGACAGTGAGGATATGAGGGGAGACGGATAATGGAAAAGAGACAGGTTCCACGGGGTGTGGTTAAATACTTGTTGGAGGTGGAGGTACTAATGTAAGTGAGCTAGAATCTTACATAGAAATAACAACTCAGGTTGGATAATGCCACAGAAATAATTTTATTCAGAAGAAGGATAATTTTGGAAGCAGTCACCCCATGATTCTTCAAACAATTGCCAGAACCGAACATTTAAGCCAAAGTTATTTTAGATCCTCGTCCTGTGGTACAGGGGTTCCAGGATTAAAGAGTAGCCAGTAAAATATAGTAGGAAAGCCAGATGCCAGGTATTGGAATAAAGACAACATTTGGGAGTGGTCACTGAAGGAGGCTAAGCTTCATCAATCGTATAAACTGACAGAGAAGTCTTCCTCCTAAAACACAAAGATAATCATGACACTTTCCAGAAATGCCTGCTCTTTGCTACCAACCAGCTTTCTCCATGTTCCACCCAGCCTTCAGTGAGCAGAGGGGATGTTGGGGTCCCTTCTGGTCCCAAAGGCCAGCAGGACCCATGCTTCCCACAAGCAGCTCTCTATCTTGTACTCACATCTTGAACAGCAGTTTGGCAGGAGTGGCCACAACCATGGCTGCAGCATTTTTGTCCCATGGGACAAGATTCATCTCCGCTACACAGTTCAACACAAGGTCCAATAGTTCCTGGAGGCAGCCTTGGACAACTTCCAGGTCTTGATCCATCTGCAAAACAAAACAGTCTTTCTAGAACCCAGACCATCTCTGTAGATTGGAGTGGGACATGGTGTTGAGAGAGAGAGGGCTGAAGTGCCTTGGTCCCTGGTGGACATTTAGCCTCTTCCCTTCTTGACACCCCCAATCATCCCCCTCTCAACCTTGAATGCACACAGTACTGTTTTGTCCATGGGAAAACATACCAATGGCCAGCAGCTGCAGCGTCCTGGGAGAAGAGGAGATCACACTGCTGCTAACCCCCTGCTTTTTGTTTCTTCTGGGACTAGATAGTTAAATCTCAGATCACAAGCACAGCCGGACTCCCACCAATTCTATGCGCCATCAGGTGCCAATTAACACTGAGTCCCACAGCCTGCCACTGCTCCCCGCCTGAAAGAGAACCCCAATCCTGCAACTAGTGCTACTCCAAGTGGGTTCCATGAACCAGCCTCATCAGCACCCTCTGGGAGCCTGTTAGAAATTCAAATTTCTGTGCCCAACACCCGACCTACTGACGCGGGAACTCTGGGACTGTGTTTCAGCAATCTGGAGTTTCTTAAGGACCCCAGGTGATTTTTATGCATGTTGTGTTGGCGAACCCCTGTTATACATCATCCCCAAAACAGCTTGCTGTATCAAGTTAGGGGCATGGAATATGCAGGCTGGATATTACACTTGTGAGTCAAGTGAAGTAGATCTGGTGGATGATAATTCTCTACTCTCTGCAGCGGAGAGACCTCCCTCATCTGTAGGATTCCCTTACATACTCCTCCATCCCCCATATCCCACCCCCCAAAAAGTCCAAGATTGGCCCTTGAGCCTGAGATAATGTAGAGGTGTGTTAGCAAGCTGTTCCTTGGATGATACACCCAGTTCTAACTCCTCTACACCCCTCTCCTTCCCAGTCCACTTTGATGCACCCACCAAATTTGTAGTGGTTTCAATCAATCCTAGCCATTCAGTCAAGAAAGTAAGGAAATGAAAGATCTGTGCTGAAATGGCAGCTCCCAGCCGCTGCTGGCAAGAATCAGCCTGGGCAGGTGTAAATATTGGTGGAATGAATGAACGGACCTGTGTTTCACATCAGTGTGGACATGTGTTTGGGTGTAAGATACAGGCTCACTTGTCCATAACCATGTTCTTTCCAGCCCTTGGTGAGGGATAATTTGATATCTTAATGATATTTAATTTTTATTTGAAGAGTATCTCCAGCTTTTTCAAGTTTACAAATACTTCTAAAGCAAGATATTATTTTCTGTCTTTATGGTCTTCTGGACCAGGAGGAAGGAGCATCTTTTCTAATTCTCACAGAGGCTAGTGCTGGCCCCAGCTGTAGCCAGTTTCTCTCTCCTTCTCTGCAGGAGGCCCGGTAGCCACTGTCCTGGCAGGGCTAAGCATTCAGTGGGTCGAGGATGCGGAAGGCAGGGCTTGCTGGTTTTACCTCGGTCTAGGGCTGGCCAGCAGACATGGCCGCATCCGTTGCTGACACATAGACGTCCTACCCCACAGTCCTGGTCTCCTTGGCATTCTTCCGCACAGGGTCTTACCCCTAGAAAAAATTGAGTTGAAAACTGTTAAGCCTGGCAGGTGAGCAGGGGAGGACTGTGAGGGCGCTTATTTGTTTTAAACTTCTGTTCAATTCAAAATATGTAGATATGATATCTACAGAGTTTTCACTATTTTAAATGTAACACATACATTTTTTTTTAAAAGATAAAAATTACTCAACTATATAAAGTAATAAGTAAGTCTCCCTTTCCCTCAACCCATCAAGTCTACTTCCCAGGAAGTATCTACTGTTTCTTGTGGCTCCTTCTGGAATTTCCTCTGTGCTTTTATAAATGTAAATACAAGGACATCAATAACACACACATACGTAAACATAAAATGTTAGTAGGTGTTTGTCCAATAAGTTACAAATATGCGGGGTGAGGCTATCCATTTTTTTGGTGTTGAAAGACACGTTCATTAGGCAGTTTAGCAATATACATCAGAAGCTTTCAAATGTGTATTTGGCCATTCCACTTTTTGGAACTTATCCTAAAGATATATGGTTTAGCTCAAGGATATTTATCTTTTACTTCTTATTAAAAAGTAGCCCAAAGTGACAGGTTATCTCAATCTGTAAGAGGAGGAGAAGATGTGAAAAATAAGGCATATCGCTATACTGGAGAGAAATGAAGCCATTTAAAATGTGTGGTAGAATTGTATTTACTGATTAGGGCTGACGTCATGACTCCATGTTTGTAAAAATCATATACATATTCTATTTTCCTAGATTTTTGTTGGTTTATCTGTTTATCTTTGTTACTGTATGATGATGATCTAGTGGTTAAGATTTGTTGCTCTCTCTGCCACGATCCAGGTTCATTTCCCGGTCAGGGAACCACACCACTTGTCTGCGGTTGTCATGCTGTGCTGGTGTGTGTTCCTGTGATGCTGAAAGCTAAGCCACCAGTATTTCAATACCAGAAGGGTCACCCATGGTGGACAGGTTTCAGCAGAGCTTCTAGGCTAAGACAGATTAGGAAGAAGGACCTGGCCACCCAATTCCAAAACAGTGGCCAAGAAAACTCTATGAATAGCAGCTGTGCTTTGGCAGATATAGTGCCAGAACGTGAGAGGATGGTGCAAAAAGACTTGGTGGGGTTCCGCTCTGCTGTACAGAGGGTTGATAGGAGTCAGAATCGACTCAACAGCACTGATAACTATTACTGTAAGATCTTTAAGGACATAGACCTTTCCATAATTATCTCCTAGCTCTCAGCACAGAGTTAGGCATGCAGTAACCACAAAATAAACATTTATCCATTGTGAACTCTGAAAAAGTATATATCTCTGTGTATGGATGGATTATGAAAGCTTTTATTTAAAAACTTTACCTAGGTGGTGGGATCATGGATAATTTGTATTTTTTCTTAGTATTTCTGAGTTTTCTATAATGAGCAGGCATTCCTTGCATAACAAAATAAGAGAGGAGGGTTCTGTGCTTAAAAAGTCAGGACACACAGCTGTGTGGCATGCTATTCCCTCAGGAAGGACAAGCCTGAAAGCAGAGACCATGGGGATTAAGCACCTCAGGAAGGGGAGTGTGGGCAGAGCTAAGACACAGTCTCCCCGGGTTGTGTGGGGTTTGGAGACCTGGGCAGGCCTGTGGGCTTTTACCTGGTCCCTGGGATGGAGCACAGATTCGATGACATCCCCTCCTGATACACTGCTGTCTTGCACCACAGTCCTCATTTCCTTGACATTGGTCCACACAGATTCCTAACATGAGCAGAGACTCATGAACACAACGAAGCCCCAGGTGTGGATATTGGGAGCATGGTGCTGATTGGCAAAAGGCCCACTTCATATGGTATATATTACGTAGTGTAACGGAGGATGAAACATATAAAAATAGGTACCTCTTAGCATATTCATAGAGAAAATTAAGATAATGTTTACCCAATTGTTAATGATGATTATTTCAAGGGGGGGAACTGTAAGCAGATTTACTCCATTTTGTTTAGATCTATGACGTTTTAACATTTGCAAGAGATGGTAACTTCAATAAACAAAAAATATAAAAATTAAAAAATAAAGAAAATTCAGAGAAACAAGCTTTAGCTTTGGCCAAAGCTGTTGATCAGCAGGAAAACAGAAGGAGAAGAGGGATTTTCATACTCACCGAGCAACTCCAGTGTGTGCCAGTAGCACAAAAACAGAGTTGTTGAGAGGTGTATAGTTCCCATTTCAGAAATGAGGAACTGGGAGCTCAGAGAATATAACTGACTTGCCCACAGGCAGGGCTATAGTGGTGGTGCTGGGATTGGAACCCAGGTAGACCTGGTCCTGAAGTCCACATTGAATAGAGACCTTCCCTGTGATGCCCCAACATGCACATATACCCACGTGGACTCAAGTATGCTCTCAGATCAATTCTGCTGGGGCCTTATATGTCTGAGGATCCTAAGTGTCTTTTGTGAGGCACCATGGCTGAGCTATTTTGTGGAGAGGTCAATGGCTGGCCTTTGGGGCAGAAACCCATCAACATTTCAGGAGTCATGCCCATCGCTGACCTCCCAGGCATTTGTTGCAGTCCAGCGTGACCATTTCAATTGCCACCAGTGCACTTGCAAAGATGGCTGCTACCTCAAACCGTAAACATATACAAAAATTCACTCAAAAAGGATCAAAGGCCTAAATGTAAGAGCTAAAACTATAAACCTCTTAGAATGAAACATAGGTGTAAATCTTTGAGACCTTGGATTAGGCAATGGTTTTTAAAATATGACACTAAAAACACAAGCAATAAAAGGAGTAGTAGATCAAGTGGACTTCACCAAAATAAAGACTCTGTGCATCAAAGGGCACTATGAAGAAAGTGAGAAGACAATCCACAGAATGGGAGAAAATATTTCCAAATCATATATCTGATAAGGGTCTAGTATACAGAATATATAAAGAATCCCTACAACTCAACAATAAAAAGGCAAACACTCCAATTTTGAAAAGGGAGAAGGACTTGAATAGACACTTCTCCAAAGAAGACAAACAAATGGCCAATAAGAAGATGAAATAAGGCTCAATATCATTAGAGAAATGCAAATCAAAACCTCAGTGAAATACCTCTTAACCCCCACGAGGATGGCTATAATCCAAATACCAGGTACCAACAAGTGTTGGCAAGGATGTGGAGAAATTAGAACCCTCATACATTGTTGGTGGGAAAGTAAAATGGTGTAGCCTCTGTGGAAAACAGTTTGGCAGTTTCTCCAACAATTAAACTTAGACTTGCCATGTGACCCAGCAGTTCCACTCCTAGGTATAAACCCAGGAGAACTGAAAACATATTCACACAAAAAGTGTACATGAATGTTCATAGCAGCATTATTTTATAATAGGCACAAAGTGGAGACAACACAAATGCCTATCAACTGATGAATGGATAATTAACAAGTGGTATATACATATATGTATATATATATACACACACACAGTGGAATATTATTCAGCCATAAAAGGGAATGAAGTTCTCATAGACGCTACAACTTAGATGAATCTTGAAAATACTGAAAGAAGCCAGACACAGAAGGCCACATGTTCTGTGATTCCATTTATGTAAAATATCCAGAGTCAGAAAATGCTTAGAGATGGAAAGTAGATTGAAGATTGTCAGGGAGTGGAGGAAAGAGGGAACAGGGAGTGACTACTTAATGGGTATGGGGTTTTTTGGGGGGGTGATAAAAATGTCCTGCAATTAGATAGTGGTGATGTTGCACAACATTGTGAACATACCAACAACCACTGAATTGTACACCTTAAAATGGTTAAAACAGTCAATTTTATCTCAACAAACAGACACACACACACACACACACACACAGCTAGAGACCTCCAGAGAGCCTGATTTAAGTGGTCTGGCATAGGGACCTGGCACTGGTCATTTTTAAAAGCTTCTGAGGTGTTTCTAACGTGCAGGCAGAGACCTTCCTACACAAAATGTGGTCTGTGGACCAGGTATATTGGCACCACCTGGAAACTTCTTAAAAATGCAGAATCTCAAGCCCCACACCAGAGCTATGGAATAAAAATTTGCATACTAATCAAATCCTCCAGTTATTCTTGTCATATTAAATTTTGCTAAACACTGCTCTCATCCAGAACAACTGAGTATGTCGAGTATATTTATGGTGGAAATAGCCATTAAAATGAGGCTTTCAAGGGTTAATGAGACTTTCATAGGCAGAGGTGGGGAGGCTGTCAGATGAGAGAACACATTTGCATTTTGGGGAAATCAGTAGCCTGATTGGACCTGCACTTTAGGAAGAACAATCTCACATTCATGCATAGAACTGACTGGAATTTAATACACAACACATGTTTTAGAGGAGAGAGAGTTAAAAGAGTATTGGAGTGGTCTGCTGTGTAATCAGGCTGATGGCAGTGGGTATGGAAAGGCTGTAAGAGAAATTTTCTAAGAAGAATTGATGAAGTCTGGTAACTGATTACAGGGCAAGGAAGACAGAGAAGTCATCTTGACTTATGAGCCCATAAGGCTTAAGGAGTAGATGGAAAAAGAAGAGAAAGCAAAAGATACAGACAAGGCAGAGTGACGTCAGCATCGTGGTGGAGTGAACTTTCCAGTAAACTCTTCCCCCGATAAGATACAACAAAAGGGTTAAGCATAGACCAACAAGAGACACTCACACTGAACAGAGAGACATCAGAAAGACCCATACTGCCGCACATCTGAGAATGGATGTGCTGGGGCCGCCAGAAGAAGTAGGGAGAGGTAAGGAGAAATCCTCTCCCTCCCCATCAGATTGGCAATTTGGGTCACGTGGCTTCCAGAGAGAGGGGAGGGGCGGCCCTCTGCAGGGAAACCGTAGCATTTCAGGCTCTCTCAGCCAGTGATAAACTCCACACAAGGGACTCAGAACTGCTGCAGGGGTGCCATCAAAATCTGAGCACCCCAGGAGAGTGGATAACGAGGGGCATGTGAGAAGCCCCCCTCACCCAGAGACTCAGTGGGCAAGGGAGAGAGCCCCTCACCCC